TTATAATAAATATTTCTCCCAGCAACCATTGAGGTCTCTTTCTGACCTCCTGCAAGTTGAAGGGGTAGCTGGTCAAACTGTGCCCTACCTTGGCTATATTGAGATGATAGTGACTTTTCCCAAAGATTTTGTGGGTGCAGATACAGAAGTAGCTACATTAGCACTTGTGGTTCCTGACAACCGTCCCGAGTTCCACTCACAGGTATTAATTGGCATGAACACCCTTGAGCCATTGTATGACCAGTTTGTGGAGGGAAGTCAGGGTAGTTTCCAGCCAGAAATGCACGGATATAGAACTGTCCTACAACTGCTCCAACTGCGGCGCCAGCAAACACAGCTGGGCAGCGAAGGTGTTGTGAGGCTCTCAAATAAGGGTCCAGTCACAATTCCCGCAGGCCACACAGTCGTCGTGGAGGGCTCCATCCATGGTCACGCTCCACCAGCAGGCTGCAACGTACTTATCGAGCATCCCTCATCTCCCTTGGCCGGTGGACTCTGTGTGACTAGTTGTCTCATTAAGATTGCAAAGTGTACTTCCCCCAAAGTTCCAGTTATTCTCAAAAATGAGTCTGAGCAAGAAGTTTCAATTCCACCCTTAAGCACTATTGCAAATCTCATTGTGGCACCTCACTTGTTGTCACATGAAACTTCTCTTTCCCCTGAACCCACTGTAAGTTCTTCACACCCTTTACACTTTGATTTTGGTGATTCGCTCGTCCCAGAGGATTGGAAGGATAGGATTATAACCAAACTGAAAGGAATACCGGAGGTCTTTTCTTTTCATGATTTGGATTTTGGTAGAACAGCGAAAGTCAAACACCACATCAAATTGCACGACGAGACACCCTTCAAGCAGCGTCCTAGGCCTATACATCCCCAGGATATAGAGGCAGTTCGACAACACTTGCGAGATCTTTTGAAAGCAGGAGTTATCAGAGAGTCTGATTCTCCGTTTGCCTCGCCTATTGTAGTTGTGCGCAAGAAAAATGGGGATGTCCGTCTGTGTATCGACTATAGAAAACTAAATCTCCAAACCATTAAAGACGCTTACGCCCTCCCCAACTTGGAGGAATCGTTCTCAGCGTTGACTGGCTCAAAATGGTTTAGCGTGTTGGATCTCAAGTCTGGTTAATACCAGATTGAGATGAATGAAGCGGATAAAGCGAAAACTGCCTTTGTTACCCCGTTAGGGTTCTGGGAGTTTAATCGCATGCCGCAAGGTGTTACAAATGCTCCCTCAACTTTTCAGCGCCTCATGGAAAAGTGCATGAGCGATCTCCATTTGAAAGAGGTTCTTGTGTTCCTCGACGATTTGATTGTCTTTTCCAGAACTATGGAGGAAGAGCGACTGCTACGAGTCCTGAATCGATTAAAGGAGTATGGCCTCAAGTTATCTTTGGAGAAATGCAAGTTTTTCCAAACATCTGTGCGTTATCTGGGTCATGTGGTGTCTGAGGAGGGAGTGATGACTGACCCTGAGAAGATCTCTGCCTTAAAGACCTGGCCAATTCCCCGAACTCTGCGAGAGCTTAAATCCTTTCTCGGATTTGCCGGATACTACCGAAGGTTTATTCAGGGGTATGCCGCCATAGCCAAACCACTGAATGATCTGACACGGGGCCATACACCAACCTGTAGGTCCGGACCAAGGGGGTCCAATCGAAAGTTGGCCAACTTAGCACAAACGCCGTTTGGAGAAAAGTGGTCGCCAGAATGTCAGGTTGCCTTTGAAACTTTGATTGAGCACCTAACTACTGCACCTGTTCTGGGGTTCGCAGACCCAACAAGGCCCTACATTTTACATACAGATGCGAGTGCCACGGGTCTTGGTGCAGCCCTTTATCAGGAGCAAGGTGGGCATCTCCGAGTCATTGCTTATGCCAGTCGTGGGTTATCTGCCAGTGAAGCGAGATATCCCGCCCATAAGCTGGAATTTCTTGCATTGAAATGGAGCATAACAGAGAAATTGCATGATTATCTGTATGGTGCTAACTTTATTGTGGTTACAGACAACAACCCCCTGACGTACATTCTGACGTCCGCTAAACTTGATGCTGCTAGTCACCGTTGGCTTGCAGCACTGTCTACATACAGCTTCACTCTTCAGTATCGGGCTGGCAAGAAAAATCTTGACGCTGATGCACTGTCACGCCGTCCCCATGACTCTGATCCTGATACGGTCTCTCATCTCGATCTTGTCCGTCAGTTCACTGTTAGCCATGGCAGTAAGCCAGAGTATGAGATTTCTCCAGAGGTTGTCTCTGCCATTTGCCAAAGTCGTCTTGTTAATAATTGTCATTCAGCCGTTTCCACTGATTACCCTTCCATCACTTTGGTTGAGTCAATGACTACCTCTGCCAGGGCTGTTCCCGAGAGCTACTGTAACGAGAGTCAGCATGGGTTGCCTGTAGTTCCATCCTTGTCTATTCAAGAAATCAGAGAGAGACAGAGGTCTGACCAGTCCATCCGAGAAGTAATTCACCAGCTAGAGACAGGCGAGCGTGTACCCTCAACAGTGAGACACGAGCTTTCCGAAGTGGCATTGCTTCTCCGAGAATTGAACCGGCTGGAGTTGGTGGAGGGTGTCCTCTACAGGAGAAGACGGGATGGGGATGAAGTGCTTTTCCAGCTTGTTTTACCTGAGGGGATGAGGCCCTTGGTTATGAAGAGCCTTCATGATGACATGGGACATCTCGGTGCTGAGCGAACGCTAGACCTGGTGCGCACCCGATTCTTTTGGCCACGCATGTCCGTAGATGTTGAGACAAAAATCAGGACTTGTAACCGCTGTGTCAGACGGAAATCGCCACCTGAGAGGGCCGCACCCTTGGTCAATATCATCACCACTCGACCACTCGAGTTGGTATGTATGGATTTTCTTTCCCTAGAACCCGACCAGAGCAATACCAAAGACATACTTGTTCTCACAGACCACTTTACTAAGTTTGCTGTGGCTTTACCTACACCTAATCAGAAAGCACACACCGTTGCGCGGTATTTGTGGGAGCACTTCATCGTTTATTATGGCGTTCCTGAGAGACTCCATACTGATCAAGGACCGGACTTCGAGTCTAAGCTCATAAAAGAACTCTGTGAGGTTGCTGGCATTGTCAAGACAAGAACAACTCCATACCATCCACGTGGGAATCCTGTAGAGCGTTTCAACCGAACTCTCTTAAGTATGCTGGGAACCCTTGAACCCAAGCAGAAGAAGCGATGGAAAGAGTATGTGAAGCCGCTCTGCCATGCATACAATTGTACCAAGAATGATGTAACTGGCTATACGCCTTATGAATTGATGTTTGGTCGATCCCCCCGACTCCCAGTTGACCTTGCTTTTGGTCTCCCAGTCAGAGAGAAGCAGGAAAAGTCCCACTCCCAGTACGTAGAGCATTTACGTTGTCGACTTGAGCAAAGTTTTCACCTTGCCACTAGAAATGCTGGGAAATCGGCTGAAAAGAACAAAAAGAGATTTGACCAACGTATCACCCCTTCTAGTTTAGACGTTGGTGATCATGTTTTGGTGCGCAATGTGAGATTGCGGGGAAGGCATAAACTTGAAGATAAGTGGGAGTATGATGTATATGTTGTTCTGAGCCGTGCAGGGGATCTTCCAGTGTATACAGTGAGAATGGAGAGGGATGACAATGGTCCAACTCGAACCCTCCACCGTGATCTTCTACTACCTTGTGAGTCTCTTTCGAGCGATAATTGCCCACAGTTCCCCGAGTCGACGCCTCCTCGCAAACCAGTGACTCGGAGCCAGAAACAAGCTGTACCGCATGATGGGAATTATGAGGAGTATGAGGATGAGGATGATTGTCTACCTCAATTTGGAAGTCTTTCACCTGAAACTTTCACTGTTGAAGAAACCACCTTACCGCCACTTTACAATGTTCCAGAGTGTGTACCTACCGAACCTGTGAAACCCGTACCTGACCCTGGGGAGTCCTCTGCTGATCCTGTCTTATCGCCACCTCCTTCTGTAGAAGAAAATCACGAGTACTTACCTGAATCCAATGCGACCCTTCGCACCGACGAACCTGGGATTGGAGAAGTGGATGGAACGGATGGAGAAAAGGAGAGGGGTGACCAAGCAGAGATATCCCCAGAGTCGACCGGCCCTGCTCCTAATCAGTCGGTTGTTGATGACTCTGAAGTTTCCAATGCGCTGGATGTTGACCCAGCAGCTGTCCGTCGCTCTTCAAGACAGCGACAGCCGCCGAAGAGATTTGGTTATACTACTTTAGGAAACCCTTTTATTTCAGCTGTCCAGACGCTTTTTCATAATCTAGCAGAGGCCTATGGTGAGACACTTAGTACCACTCCTGGGAGCTCTAGCTTAGAATCACCTGTTCACGTTGTGTAAATGTGCACGCGGAGATGCACTATTTAAAGGGGGAGGGTGTAACCCAGATGTCAGATCTGCACTGTAGGGGAGGTTTATATGCTCTTGCTGTCTGTTGATCTTTGGGTGCTGCACGTCTCTTCCTGGTCACGTGATCGCTGTGGTCCAATAACCTTTAGTTATATGCCGGTGGTAGGAAGCTGCCAGTAGATGCAAGGGGAGGCAGGTTTTTCGTCTGCTCAAGGTATGTTCCAATTCTTGTTCACCCGTTACTCTCATGGGACCCTAAACTAACTGCTATTCACGAACTTTATAGAGCCTATTGCCAGTGTGGGGTACTTTTATCCGGTTTGCGTGTCTATGTGTGTATGCTTGTGTAGTGTGTCTCTGTGTGCTTGCGTGCATGGTGTGTTCATGTGTGTTGATGTGTTTGTGGTGTGTGTGCACATGCGCCTACATGGTGTGTGTATTTGTGTGCATGCGTCTGTGTGTGTGTGTGCGTATTGTGTATGCTTGTATGGTGTTTGTGCACGTGTGTGTGTGTGTCTGCGTGTGTGCAGTGGCGTTCCTAGGGTACCCCAGGCAACAGAGTCCTTGGGGGCCCCGATACCGACCACATAACCAGATGTAGTGTGACTTAGAAGCCGAATTGATGCCCTTTGAGCTGGAGGCCTACGATGTGCTCAAGAGCCGCTCTTGTCAGTAAATAACTGCACTTCATTAGTCCGGTGTCGACAACAGCAGTTAACTTATTTCTGGTTTTTTTATGGTCTCATTATTCAGTGAGATCTCCAGCTCTGCGCTCTCCTCACACAGGAAGGCCTCGTCGACAACTCATCACTCCAATCCCAGGTATACTTTGTGCAATGGGACGAGACCGGAAACACTAGTCCATGAGAACGAGAACGAGAAGGCCAAATGTTCACATTGGTCAAAGGGAATCAAAGTGTAAAAATATATATGAAATTAAGCTAAATTAATACATAAATAATTAATTTCCAAATTTATTGGGGAAATTTCTCTGATATGTTCATGAGGAATCAACAATGTTGTATAGTCCTCTGAGACAACTGCTGTTCTGATTTAGGGTTGTAAATAAATAAATTGTAGTAGGATGAAAAGAAAGATCAAGGCTATGCTCACACTCAGAGAGCAGCCGTCCTCCTGTGGACTCACCACCTGCAGAGGGTCAGTGAGGGGCTGGTGCTATGAGACTTGGGTGGCATCTCTGACTGCCACCCCCTTGACCCAGAAATGGATTAAAGGGTAGAAAATGGATGGAAATGGATGGATAGGATGAAAATGGTCAGAAACATCTCATCATCAAAATAATCAAATTAAGCCAAATCTTCTATTGTTGTGGCGCTCTGTGGAAGAAGCCTCTTTGGCTCACTTTTCAGCCCTCTTGAGCTCATGCAGAGGTTAGATGCCCCAGCCCTGGCCCATGAGTTTACATGTGAGCGTGACACAGCTACCGAGTCAGAGAGGCATCTAAACGCAACACTCGCACTGACAACTGAACCAAATGTGCTTATGATGACTAAAACTATCATCCACAATATTATGTCTCATTTCTCATGATTGTTTAAAAGCTATGTACTCTAAATGTCTTCTCCTGTGAGATGTCATGGCATACATTTTTTGTTATTTACAGTGGTCTTTGTACAATTTATATCAGATGTTCTGCCAGATAACGTGTCTCACTTGGATGCAAATAAGTGATGACGCTGATTATAAAAGTAGATATGATATTTACTTATTCTCATGATCCCTGTCTCATCTTGTGGGAAAAGTGTCCTCCATGACAACAGCTATAATACTTTTTTATTATAGATGTTTTATTTGTTTTCACACACACACACACACACACACTTTTTTAGTTTCTTTCACATCTTTAGATAAGCTTTTTGAGACCGAAAAGTGATAAAGGAGAGGCTTACCCTCACTCAAGCCAAATAGCTCTCAGCCTAAAGAGTTGTTTAGTGACTCAAATGGCTCTTTTTTGCTTGTATGCAAAAGACAGCATGTTGTGGTCTGACTAGTTACCTACATTTAACATTTTTCTTTTGTCAGGGCAAAGAACATGGATCATTTCAGAGAAAGAAAAGTATTCTAGTGTATTCATTGTTACAATACAATACAATACAATTTATTCTTGTATAGCCCTAAGTCACAACAGAAGTAATCTCAGAGGACTTAACAAAACCATTGAAATCACCAACACAAATCAGAGAATCAACAGTTAAAACACATGAAAAATATAAAGCACACACAGAAAAAAAAAGTCCATACATGTTGTAGAATGTCAAAGTGTCCTGGATCATCACCAATCCTTTCTGTCCTTTCTGTTGGACACTAACTGTCCAACAAGACCATCCTGCATCGGCAAGGAAAAACTCATCAAAAACCCATTGGGAAAAAGTGAGAAACCTTGGGGAGACCTAGGGAAACCCACAGCGAGGGAGACCCATTTGAGAAAGGGATCCGCTCCTCCGGACGGACAGGCTAATGATCCAGGACCTAAGCTAGCTACAGAACGTGAACCAGTGGCCGCTGAACGTGGGCAGGTCCGGTGCAGAACTGAAGCACTCCCAGGCGGGTCACGCAGGGCAGTCCACAGGTGTAGATGGAGTTAGGCCAGGCTCAGAGATCCCGTCATTGTACCATGAAACAGACAATGGGACAACGGGTGAATAGCAATGAACAAACTACAGTCAACATCCTAATAAAGCTAAACAGGTAAAGTAGGAAGGAGGAGAGGATAGTGCTCAAGTTACCATACTTCTCCCAGCAAACTGACTCCCTATGCAGTTTGACTGACAGTCTGAGGAGTTTAGCCTTTCCTGAGTCTTACCTTCCTAGCCATATGCTAAACTAATGAGGACTGTTTTAAACCTAGCTTTGAATAAATAGAGCGTATCTGAAAGGAGGTGAGACAGCAGCAGCCACGGCTAGGCTAGCCTAGGCTACAGCACCAAGATTCATGGATTGCACACCAAGTGTGCAAACCAATCCAGGCAAACAGCCTAACTGCTTCCTTAACATGAATGGGAAGCTGATTCCACAGTAAAGGAGCTTGGTAGCTAAATGCTCTGCCGCCGACAGTGATTTTTGAGACCTTAGGAACCACCAGACGTCTGCCGTTTTGTAAGCGCAACGCTCGACTTGGTTGATATGACACTAACGTGTCTTGGAGATAAGAAGGAGCCAAGCCATTTATGGCTTTATATGTTAAGAGAAGGATTTTAAACTTTATTCTGTACTCCACAGGGAGCCAGTGGAGTGATTTTAACACCAGAGTTATGTGCTCCCTCCTTTTGGTACCTGTCAAGATCCTTGCTGCAGTATTCTGAACGAGCTGGAAGCTCTTCAAAGAGGTTTTAGGGCATGCTGCCAAAAAAGCGTTACAGTAGTCAAGTCTTGAGGTGACAAAAGCGTGGATAAGTTTTTCCGCGTCACTTTTAGGAAGGAAATTCCTGATTTTAGCAATGTTCCGTAAGTGGAAGTACGCCGTTTTAGTTGCTTGGCTTATATAAGCCTTGAAGGAGAGTTCTTCGTTGAAAATGACTCCAAGATTCCTCACAGTGTTGCTGGGTATAATACTGACATTATCGAGAGTGATTATCTGGTCGGCGAGGGTGTCACGCAGGCGCTTCAGACCGAGTAGGATCACTTCTGTCTTCTCCGGGTTAAGCAGTAGGAAGTTAAGAGTCATCCACGTTTTATGGTCATTTATGCAGGCACTAAGCTTTTCCAGCTGATCCGTTTGATTTGGGTTTATCGACAGATAAAGCTGTGTGTCATCTGCATAGCAGTGTAAATTAATTCCATGCTTTTTAATGATGTTTCCTAACGGCAGCATTTAGAGAGTAAAAAGAATCGGTCCGAGTACCGAACCCTGCGGCACACCGAATTCCACTCCAGAATAATGCAGCACTAAGGTCTAGTAGGACCAGCACTGACACTTGTACATTATCAGCAGCGAATAGTAAGTCATTTGTGACTTTGACTAGTGCCGTTTCAGTGCTATGATGAGCTCTGAATCCTGATTGAAAGACTTCAAACATATTATTTCCAGGATTATAGATATGAAAGTGAGGTTTGAGATCGGTCTGTAGTTTGTAAGTATTTCTGGATCCAGGTTTGTTTTCTTTAGAAGGGGTTTGATTACCGCGGTTTTAGAAGCTTGTGGGACATAGCCACATTGTATGGATGTGTTTATTATATTTACGATAGGCTCAATCAAAGGAAGTATGTCTTTGAAGAGCCAAGCTGGGATTGCATCGGGATTGCACCGTGCCGCCCCAAGAATACTTAGTTTCCATCCGAGTACAGTACACTATACACTCTTTCAACAATTAATTACAATTCACACACTTTTGTAAATATTCATGGTAGTCATATTTTTTATGGCTGATAAAAGCTCATTATGTTTACTGAAATGTCGGTGTTTTCAGACTACCAGGGGGGCTTCCACCTGCAGCCCCTGCCTCAGCCCCAGAGGGAGCGTGAGCTTATGGAAGAGCTGGAGAGACTGCGTGTGTCCAGCAGCCAGGCCAGACTGTCCGCGCCTTCCAACCTCTTCACCCCTCTGCTGGACGTCCCGGTGGACAGTTATGGGCGCTCTCGGTCTCTTAGCCCCTCCCCCACCCCCTCGCACTCAGACTCAGCCTACAGCTCGTACCGAGGGCAGCCACACCAGACTCCCCTGCACCTGTCCCCCACCCATCCACACACATCTGCGTCCGAGCGGAACCTCCATGAACGCGGGCGCTCGCCCGTTAGGAACGCCTGCAGCAGGACACTCCGCGAGGCCAGTCCTGAGGTGGGGCTTCAGGGCAGGTACACCGGCTACACAGAGGTGAGTGTGCATGTGCCCTCACCCTCCCCGCGCAGAGACAGGACGCCAATTGCACAGTTGTTTGAGGCGCAGGGACATGGCGCACTGTTGTCTGGGAGGCAGGGACACGACGCACCAGGGGGGAGCAGAGCAGATGTCCCACTGCTGAATGGACACTCCCCGCACAATGTTAAAAAGCCTGTCCCAGCAGAGGATTATGACATCAGCACACTGACCATCCCCAAAGCCAAGAGGTCTCTGGGTGAGTGCACACAGGCTCTACTTCTCAAAACACTGTCTGGTGGAAAGTGTTGTCTGCCTTTCACCATCCTTACATTTTCAGGTTTGAAAGATTAGATAAATAAGCAATGTCTGTGTATGTCATTTTATTTATCATCACAACACATGGATATAGATCAGTTGAATGCCATCCTAGAATGGCAATTCTTTACAGTCAAAGAATCAACATTTCCATTATTACCAAACAGGATTGAGACTTCTTTAGCAAATTAAGTCAAGATATTTTTGGCAGTTACCTAGTGGGTATACTCAAGAAGCCCCGAGCTTCCCGCCAGAGAGAAATCAACGCTCCACGTGATTGGAGCGTTGATTGGAAGCCAGTCCCATCTATAAATATTCCTCTACAGCCCGCACCTGCCACTTTGAACTCTGCCAAAGCCAGGCTGGACTGATGGGCCCGTAGCTAAGCACCATTCGTAGAACTTAAGTTATACTAGGTAACTACCAATTCTACAGCATGGTGCTAACGCCACTTAGGCTTTGCTGTGGGTAACACGCGTAGCCGTAGAGAGATGTACTCCCATCAGGCCAGTATACAGTGATTGGAGCCCTGCCCGAGTCCCCACCGCACTACCAAGGCGCATGGACTCGGGGCAGGAAGAGAAAGAGAGCAGTGTACAAGGCCGCTCCTACCAAGGACGCCTGAATGACACTGAAAATCTCCTGAAGAGCACAAACAGAGCAAGGGCCGCTGGTACCAAGGACGCCCTCGCTCTGACAAAACTCCCGTAGGAGTAGCAAGAAAACATACTCAGGACGCCTCTACCAAGAGCGCCTGAAGTATGGAAGGTACGGGAAGAGCGGGTCACGACCCCAGGACGCCTCTATCAAGAGCTCCTGAAGGGCGGACTAGAGCAACCGCAGACAGCGGGTAGACTCCCTCCGCGTGCCCCGCAGTGAGTCAGACCCCCGCGTTCAGAACGGAATGAGCAACTGACCGTTCTGCAACATCCACTAAATATGACAGAGCAAAGGAAGAGGACGAAACCCAAGAAGCGGCTTGGCAGACGTCCTCCACTGAGGTCCCCCGGAGCAGAGCTGTAGAGGCCGCGACTCCTCGTGTGGACTGTGCCCTGAACCCTACCGGGGGAACCAATTCCTGGGCCTGGTATGCCAAACGAATCGCCCGGGAAACCCAGTGCGCCAGCCTCTGAGGCGTCAAAGGTGCGCCCCTGTTATTAGGGCCTGTGCACACAAACAGCTGATCAGACCGTCTGAAAGAAGCTGTAACGGCCAGGTAGGATTACAGCATCCTGATTGGACACAACACCTGCTGCCGCTCGTCCTCCTCCGAGGCGTTAGGTGGCGGGTGAAATGACCCTTGACCTAAAGGCCGAAGTAACGACCTAATGCAGAAAGGCTGGATTCGGCCAAAGCTCCACCACACCATCCTTAGCACCAAACGCCAGACATTCCGGGCGAATGGAGAGTGCGCATAGTTCACCTGCCCTTTTGGTTGAATCAGAGCCAGTAAGAGGGCGGTCTTGAGAGCCACACACTCGAGGCTGGCCTGAGCCACAGGCTTGAAGGGAGATCCCGATAACCCCCTCAAGACCACCTTGAGGTCCCAGAGCGGAGGCGTTCTCCGGAGAACGTGCCTCTTCCTGTGGGCCAACTGAAGGAAACGTTTGACCAGCGGGTGGGAACGGGGCGAAAGGTCCCACACCCTCCGTGGCCGGAGGCAATGGCTGCCGCAAACACCGCCAGGGTGCCGGCAGCCCTCCCCTTCTCCAGCAGTTCCTGTAGGAACCCCAGTACCCCCTCCAGTGGGCAGGACATGAGGTCCCACGACCGGGCCACGCACCAGTCGCTGAGAATCTTCCACCTACAGCCGTAGGCTCTGACAGTGGAAGGGGCCCTCTCACCCTGAATGGTCTCACCACCGACTGGGGGAGACCCAGACCTACGAGATTCCGCCTCTCAGCCTCCAGACCCACAGTCTGTGGCCCAGCACTGGGGGCGAGTGAAGCGTCCCTCTTCCCTGGACCAGAGCCCCGGGCTCGTCCGGGAGAGGCCAAGGTTTTCTCACCGCCATGCCCCTCAGGAACGGGAACCCGCGGGCATGATGAGAATCACTTCCCGACCCTCCTGCTCGATTCTCCTCAGAAGGACTGGCAAGAGGCGAGTCGGGGGAAACGCATAAGGAGGCCCCTTGGCCACAGATAATGCGCCAGGGCAGCCACCCCCAGGGGTGGATTGTCCGTGGGCCGTAGTGCAAACCAGAGTGGGCACAGCGCGTTGTCTGCACTGGCGAATAGGTCGACCCCCGGCCGACCGAACCTCAGCCATACATGCGCCGCTATCTGCGGGGCCAGGCCCCACTCCTCCCTGAGTGGGCCTCCCCTGGACATTAGATCCGCCCCTGTGTTCCTGTCTCCGGGAACGTGGCGGTCCCTGAGAGACAGCAGATTCACATCCGCCCAGAGCAGAATGCTGGCTGCCAGGCGATGGAGACCAGCGCCGTGGTGGCCAGTCGTGAGATGCTCTCCTGTCTGTCCACGGATAGAGCAGCTCGAAACTCCACCGAGTCCAGTAGCACACCGAGATAGAGCGGGCGCTGGGCAGGCTGTAACCTGCTCTTCTCTCTGTTCACCACAAAGCCCAGCTGTTGTATGTGGGACAGAACCCAGCGCGTGTGATCCAGAGCCACTTCCTTGGACTGGGCCAGAATAAACCAATCGTCTATGTAGGTTAAAATTCTGACCCCCGCGCTATTCGTAGCAGCTCTCTCCCACAACGAAGCGCAGAAGCGTCTGTGCTCTGGCACTCCCTCCCTCTTATTAGCAGGGAGGCTACCTCCTCTTGGAGAGCCTCCTCTGTGCCATGTCGCCTGGAGCTCGCCGCTTGAATGCCCTGGAACGGCGGTGGTCTCCTCGCAAACTGCAGAACATAGCCTCTGCGCAACCTCTTGTCCAACCACGCGTCTGAGAGGAGTCCCTGCTCTCTCCAGACCTGGTAAAGGACGTGAGAGGTGGCACCGGACTCGTGACACCTGACCCTAATGCCCCCCACTCTCCTGGTGCCATCACAGGAGAGGGGGGGGTTCCCTAAAGGGCCGAGGGTCTCTGTGTGTCATGCAGTGCGCGACAGATGAGTTCTCCCTCACTGTCTCGCTAATCACACTCAGCCTCCGTGCCGTGCCTTAGCAGCCTGTCTCTTTGCTCTGCTGCGCGAGACAGAGGAGTCCTTACTCTCTGTCTCGCTCATAGCAGCGAATCCCAATGCTGTGCTGTGTGGGACGAACGGACCCTGCTCTGTTGCCCTGGTAACAACAGCCTGCCTCTTACGCTTCAGACCCATACCAAATGGGGAAGTGTGAGAAATAGCGGAGCTAGGGGTAGAGGTCATAGGCCTCCCCTTAGTGAGACCCTCGCGTTTCAAAACTCCCTGGAGAGATGAGGCGCTAGGCCTGCTGGTACCTAGAGCGGTGGTCTGAGACTGGCACTGCAAACCACCCTCTCTGAAGTGTGCCTGGACTGTAGGTAAGACCACACTGCCCTCTACCTGTGACGGTATGTGGTGCAAGAGAACAGATGACAGAGACACTGGATAAGCGTAATCTTTCCTTTTATTGACAAAAGATTTTCACCCGCGCTTTCCTCCACCAAAGGGAGGGCGACGCTGGAAGGTCTGGTCTCGTGGGCCTCCGGAGGTCCACTCCTGGTCCTTTTTTTCCTTATGAGCCACGCGGTGCTCTCTCGCTCTCCTCCAAGGGGAGATAGCCGCACGCTCTGTGAGCAGCGCGTTCCTTAGAATGTGGCGAGAGACCCTTCGTCTCTGACAACTCGGACTCCATAACTCCGCCTCCGCGCTCCCTGGGTGCAGGAGACAGGTTGAGAGGGACAAATGAACCTCAGACTCCTCTTCCTGAGAAGAGTTTGGGCGAGATTCCGCGGCGCTAGCATGAGCTACGCGGTGCTCTCTCTCTCCCCTCCCTGGGGAGATAGCAGCACGCCCTGTGAACAAAATGGCCTCCTCCCGTGTGACTAGACACCCCTAGTCTTTGTCAACACGGTCTCCACAGCACAATATCCCACTGCCTGGGTGCAGGAGGCAGGTCGAGAGGGACATAGAGAACCTCAGACTCCTCTATATGAGGGGAGTCTGGGCTAGCCTCTGCGGCGCTCATGCTAGCGCCGCAGGTGCTCTCTCCTCCCTGTGGAGAAAGCAGCACGTCCTGTGAGCAGCGCGCTCCTCTTTCCTCAAAATGGTCACCTCCTGTGTGACTAGAGACCCCTAGTCTTGTCAACACGGTCTCCACAGCACAATCTCCCACTACCTGGGTGCAGGAGACAGGTCGAGAGGGACATAAAGAACCTCAGACTCCTCTACCTGAGGGGAGTCTGGGCTAGCCTCTGCGGCGCTAGCATGAGCCACGCGGTGCTCTCTGTTCTGACTGGGGAGAAAGAGGCACACTCTGTGGGCAGCGTTCTCCTCTTCTTAGATAAGCTTACCTGGGCAAGCGCTGCACTCCCTCGTCCGACGCCAGAGGGCGAAGTGGAACTCTAACAAAGGCAGAAGGCAGCAACATCTCGATTCTTCAGAAGGTGAGTAGATCTCTCTCTATGGCGCCAGAGTGAAAAGTGGCAGGTGCGGGCTGTAGAGGGCTATTTATAGATGGGACTGGCACGTGATTGGAGCGTTGATTTCTCTCTGGCGGGAAGCTCGGGGCTTCTTGAGTATACCCACAGCGAAGCCTAAGTGGCGTTAGCACCATTCTGTAGAACTTTATTTGTCCCACAGTGGGGAAATTTCAGTGTCATTGTTGTGCACATTACAGCAGAGAAAAAGAAGAAAATAAGAGCACTCAGATTGCACACATCAAACAGAGTCTATTATTTAAGACAATAGATAATAAAATTCAAATAGTAGGTAAAATACACACCGAATAAAACTCTAGTTTAGCTCTAGAGTTAACTCTAAGTTAACTCGAGAGCTAAAGTTGCACTTGGTTCAGAGGTATTTACAGATTTGTATATTGTTCTTGTATACTGCAGAGAATATGAACAGAATAAACAATAGTAACAATATTGGCAGGTAAAGTGACTTGTAAATGACAGAAATAACAGATAAATGGATATGTAATAATGCAGTAATAGTAATAATAAGTTAAAGTGACTGGTGATTAAGTGACTAATGAATTATTATCAGTGACACTTGTACAGACTCAGTAATAACTATACTTACAGACTCAGTAAGTATAGTAATTATTTATTTCAAATGTTCTCCAAAAGACAAAACAATAACAAAGATACATATAATAACCAAACAATCCAGAGTTTTAAACAGGGTCACTTATTTGGACTCAAACCCTCTACAACGCATGCGCTATTTTTTCGGTGGCAGCAGAGTACAGGGGGGTGGTGGCTGCTTTCTCAGTCTGGAGTAGGGCTGAAACAACTAATCGATTAATTGACGACTAATCCATTATTGAAATAGTCGACAACTATTTTAGTAATCGATTAATCGTTTTCTGGTTCACACGGACTCAAACAGAACAAAAATGACATGAAAATGTAGTATTTTTGATTAAAACCGACTTTGTTTTTATAATTTCATGAATATCTGTCTATCTCATCCAATCAGATAGCAGAATTAGCACAAAGAGCCTGTTACAAACATTTACTTTAAGTTTACGCCTTCAATACGTCCTCGAGTGTTGCCACTTTAGCTTTTTGTGATGAAAAAATAATTTTTTTCTACTCAATTCACAGCCAAGCGATTACTCGATTAATCGTAAAAATAATCGATAGATTAATCGATTACAAAATAATTGTTAGTTGCAGCTCTAGTCTGGAGCGAGATAAATGGTCCGATCATTCACTGTTTTCACTGTCATTGAATTTAATACAGTCTGATTGTGGATTTGCCAGTCAAAATGACACCAGCATTGAAAATAGAACACCTGAAATGTAGAACCTGCGGTCGGTAAACGGTGTTAACATGTCCAGCTCCAGTTGACACATCTTCACAACTGAAGCATGTTTGTTTAACACTAGGACAGACAGATTTCTGAAACTACTAGAACTCCCCTAGCTGTCATTTGATGGTTCTTTTTTAAATCATTTGAATTCTGAAAATCCCAGAAAAGTTAATGAGTTTCCCATCAGTTTTATTCATGTGTAGGAGAATGAAAATGACCTATTTCCAGACAAAGCACAGGGCCAAGCACTCTCTGACCCTACATATCTCTCCCATCACTTTCTCTGTGCTGAGGCAGTCACTCTCTTTCATCCACATACTTCTTCAGTACGTTTTTAAAAACATATTGAATAGAATCACATTAGAAAATAAAAAAATTGTCCCCAAGAGTAACTCCTTATACTGAGATGCAAGCTGATTTTAAAGTTTTAAAAACTTTTATGCTTTCTCTTAGTCTGTACAGTATTTACGCATCTCTATCATGGAATATTGGCCCAGAACATTTTTTAGTAGTTTTATAAAGTTAATCATATCCTTTTAAGTTCTTTTTTATTGTGAACAGTGGGTCAGTGTGGGTTTGAAGCAATCTTAATGGCTGTAAGTGAGATTTGTAGATAGTTTCTCCACACTTCAACACAGTCATTTAAATATGACATTATGAATTATATAAAGAAAAAAAAAATCATTCCAACACATTTAGCAACTTTTGTCTACAGGTAACTTAAGTGAAATTTCATCAAGACATCTTTTCATGGGAGGTTTCATCAATTATTATCCTGACTGGTGTATTACTTTTACTATTTCTGAATGCATCGTTTTGGTCTTTTTATATTTAGTGATCATTTATTCTTATTAAACGTTTTTTTGGTTCATTTCCTCAATTACTCAATTGCTGAGTATGAGTATAAATGTTTTAATTTTGATATTTTGCATTTATGTAGATTAAATTGGTACCCAAAATGATGGTACCCACTCGATTTGTGTTCTCCTATACCACCCTTATCATAGGGTGCTCCATTTGTTAGATAATCTGCATTTAATTCTAAACTAATGAATAAAAGACATCAAATATATTTTTGTGTAACTACTATTCGATCACCAGCAGAGGTCAGTGCTCCCTTTCCTATATTCTATCATACATAATGTAGACACTCATAGATTATGGATTAGCGTTTAACATGCAGTATAAAATTCCTGTTTTATATGTGCAACCTGAGGTCTCTTATTTATCTTAAATATAGACAATTTTTCTTGTTGCTATCATTGTCTGCTTGTTGCTGTCATATATCCTTTGATAGAATTTCCTCTCTATGTTCTGCAGGCATTAGCATCTCTGGAGGCATCGAGTCCAAGGTCCAGCCCATGATCAAGATTGAGAAAGTCTTCTCGGGTGGAGCGGCGTCCACAAACGAGGCCCTCAAGGTAAAAGACACTACTTGCCAACTTTATATTCACATTTGTCCATAAATAATCACAGGCGAGCTACAAAACTGCGTGCTAATGAGGTGTTGTTATGAGTGGCGTAGGGGTGAAGTGGGGAGTCTCAAATAGCACATTGGATCTATTATTGATGAGTGACAGCCACACAGCACTGCTAATGTAATATTATAATGTCTGGGCTGAGTTTAACAGGACTGCATGCCTTTGAAACACATGCTGTCCGACTGTAGAAGATTCATGAAAGTAGATTATCTATGGTGATGTGCATCTGAGCGCTTTGGTCTAAATTACACCACTATGAGAACTGTAGCTTTAACATGTGCAATTCAGTTATGTTTTTGTAGTATTTGAAGCAGGGGTACCTAACTGTTTTGTTTCATAAATAAGAAGCCTAGTTTGTCCTAACAAAGTCAAATGTTGTGAACTCATCAGACCACACCATGCTGTCTTCATCTTATTAGAAAACATGTCTAATATTAAGTATTTCTAATCAAACAACAAATTATGTTACAGCTCGTCTCTTTGATGATGTTCTCAAGTGGCATTGCTTTTAAACAACTATTTTATTGTTTCTTGTAAGAAAGAGCCTTGTGAGTTACTATTGACGCTTAGGGCCAAGAGCTTATTGACTACATGCATGTTATAGAACCAAACTGTTATGAGTGTGATGAACGAGTTAGAATGTATTAAATTCTAATCAAACAACCAATTATATTACAGAATTATGTCATAGAATTACGTTCAGCATTTCAAATTTTAATCATCTAAGGAGGTCACTAACGAACAACGCTGCCTTGACGTTTTTGAACTGTATGATCTTTTCCCATGTAAACTATTGTATAACGTGTTGGTCACTAACAGGTGTAACAATCTTAAAGCCAATCGAGAGGCTCTACAAAAAGCACTGAAACCCTACACTTATCATCATTGTAGTATCCTCACAAAATATAAACTATTAAGTTTTGAGAACTTCATCAAATAAAAAAATGCTTGTCTCATATACAAAAGTTGACATGGGTTACCCCCCCTCCTCCTCTGAATGATCACATTAGATATAATGGTGCTTTCAGACCGGATCATGTGTTGCGTCTGCTCTCAATGCAAAGTCAATGGTGACGCGTGTTCAGCTTTGAAGTACTGCATGCTCAGTCGCTGTTTAGAGCTCCGAAGTGAGGGAACATCCAGTACTTCATTACAGTTAATTAGGCTGCACTGAATTGAATTGATTGTTCAAGAAGCTACAGTGAGAAATAAAATGGTTAGCTGATAGGACAGGGGAATACACAGAAAACATTAAGTCAACAAACCAAAGCAGAAACAAACTCGACACCCAAGTCTTTTTTGTTTTTATTCTTAAAAAATCAAGAATAAAAGATCAATCAAATCCAAAGATCAAATCCAAATCTAGATTGTTCCATATGAAGGGTGAACATTATTGGCATTTTTTTTCCCAGATCAGCCATCACTCAAACATGAGAGGATTTAGACACAGGAAAAGTTCTGTGATCGCACAATCAACAAGTTATTGCATTCCTTTCACATCTTCTCAGATATGAAAGACGCTCTTCCAAAGGAGAGGCCAAGTATAACACTAGGCAAAAGACTGGAGAGGACCAAAATAACACGAGGCAAAAAACAGGAGAGGACCAGCATAACACAAGACGCAATCGGGCCGGTATAACACTAGGAGAGGGCCAAAATGACAACACTTTTTTTTTCCTGAAAGGTGGGACTTCCAGCAAAGTCATCTTAAAAAACTTTAAGGAATGGAACAAGTTGGGAAATGCCCAACTTAAAACTTAAAATTACACTTTCGCCTGCAAATGGTCAATGGTTAGATGTTTTGTTTAAAAGGTGGCATGCTGTAACCCTCTGAGCCGCTGACAGTATCCCGCTCTGGCAGCAGCTGCACAGGGTTATTTCGAGAACATGATTTTATTGGCTGAAAAGAGGGTGTGCACAAGAGATTAGACTGATGTGTTTAATTCAAGTGATCATAGAATCTTAAGTATTAAGCTGTGATTGTTTGGCCTATTTCAAAATATTCAAGAAGGGCCTGACTCAAATATTTCCTGGTGTTATTTTATATAATTTAGAAGCTACAAGTACTCCTGTGCTAATATGTTTTTTTTTATTTCTGATTTAAAAACATTTTGTTGCACCTTTCATTTACAGGCCCAGTGGCCAAGTGGTTAGCACGCTTTTCTCGCTTTTCTGCAAGAAGGTCTTGGGTTTGAATTCCAATCAGAACAGGGATTTTCTGATTTGAGTTTGCATGTTTTCCCAATGTTTGCATATGTTTTCTCCGAGTGTTCCAGTTCCCCTACCACTAAAAAGATAGGTAAGAGATAAAATAGGAAAAATCCTCCAGCTCTGGTCCTGGCCAAGCCAAACATCAAAATCTGGAGATGGGTCCCTGGCCGCTGTACTATGGAGACCACTGCTCCTGGCTGAGGCCCTAGTAGCATTTAGGACAAATTTCCCTACAAAGACAATTGTCAATTGAGACAAACACTGAACATCAGATCTGTTGTAAAGTCCCGTGTGACTCTCTGACTTAACGCATTATTTACTGCTGACAGCAACCACTTCTAGCAAGTGTAATTCATATTTTATGTTGTCTGTAGACAGTGCTTAAATTGTAAATCATAAGGTGCCGGAACGCAAAGTACACAATGACAGAGCAGGTAAACAAAACCAATACAAGTGCCGGAACGTACAATAGACATTGTTGAAAACAACATTCAAATGCCCACTTGCCTTGCTGTGGGACTTACAGCTAAAATCCATACTTAATAATACATATTATACAATAGTTAGGCTATAGGTTACTCTGCACAACACAGGCAAATGCCCACTTCACCACAGGTGGGACTTGTAGAATACAGTCAGAAATTAATTCCTCAACAAAATCAGAGCTTACAATAAATCACACAAATCTTCCAATTATTATTTAAAAGTTGGCACGGCGGCCTATTAATATAGAGTATGCTTACCTATTTAGTTGTCCAAAATGCTCCACAACACAAGCGGGTCCGGATTATTCTCCTTCTCTCTGTTTCGGGTTTTACTGCACGTATCCGTGGCAGTTCTGTGTCCTTTGGTCACCCACGACCTCGCGTACGGGACTGGGTTGAATTTAGCCAGGGAAGGTCCAACATGATTTAGGAAGAGTAACGATGATATTGTGGTTATGAGCAGAGAGCCACGGTGGGGAGTGCAAATCAAGTTCATTTGAGAAAATCCCCGCTCACATTCAGCACTTGCAATGGGAATGCTGTTGACAGCAGTAAATAACTCAATCAGTTCATCAGGCGTGTCGTGTCCACCTGAGTCTCTGTACTTTCTGTAGGCCCGTATGACTGCGCGTGGGTCAGATATATTAAAGCGCTGACACAGTGACTCAACCTCAGTCTCTCCATAAAGCGCACCTGCGTCCTCGGGCCAATACTGCGCATAAAGCACCTTCAACTCCTCAATGAACTTGTTATATCCCGTTTTGTCTGGTACCCGGCCTCCTTGGGATAACATCCGATTCTCCAGGTTCTCCAGGTTCTTGGCCACAGTTTGGAAAAATGGCTTGGCGTCCAGTGTTTTGTCGCTTGATTTTCCTTCATTTAGTGTGATTCTTTGGAAAGAGTTTTCCTCAATTCCTCTTTGGCTCAGTACAGTGTAGCGCCCTGGCCTATCTGACAATGCCTCAAACACCCTGATTTCACGACATATTGTTTTGTGGGCTGAAATGATTGTAATGTCTCGTTTTTGAAGCTCTACTGAGAGCTCAGATAATTCTTGCAATGCGTCGCACATTATGCCTAAATTTTTCACAAACGCATGTGAAGATAAACGCATAGCAAGGCCGCTGTATGTTTGTTTTGCGATGCTAGTTCTGAAATGTTTGTAAAGTGCTGGGTAGTTCTTCCAAACTGCATCAACGGTTCTAAAACTTGATGCTACCCATCTAGTGTCTAAAATTCGACCTATTTTGCATAGTTGGATATCTAGGCTCTCAGCAGACTCTCTCAGCTCTATTCTGTTTTTGTTAGATGTGCTATACAATGAATATAACTTCTCCATCAATATTTTAAAGTGATTTATAGCGCCCATCTCTTTCACTACGTCTGAGACTGCGAGCTCAAGCCTGTGCGCTGCGCAGTGCCACAGAGTAATGCTGGGGAAAATGGCCTGGAGCCGGGTCGCTACTCTGCTTTTACGTCCCAACATAACAGAAGCGCCATCACAAGTAACACCAATGAGGGTTCGAGAGAGAAAATCCTGGGTCAAATGCAGGCGCTCCAGAGCAGTTAATAGTTTGTTGACAATACCTTGAGCAGTTAGATCGTCGAGCTCCACAAGTTCAGTGAAAATGTTTGTGGGCTTGTCCATATCAAGTAACTGAGCTCTAATGTATATGATCAAACAGCTCTTCTTGCTTAAACTGGTTGACTCATCCAGCATTAGACTGAGTTTGGGTGCGCACTGTACTATTTTTTCAAATAGTTTCTTTTTCATTTCATCTGAAATATGTTTCTGTATGTTTGCACATGCAACATTGGAGTGTAAAATCCTCCCCATATCGAGTCCATTTAACTCTTGGCAATCAATCTCATGTTCGAAGCCATATGCGGGACGGTTGCGTTTAGCCTCCTTGTATGCCGTGCGAAAGACGCGAGCTGTCTGTTCAGACAGACTGTTAATTATAGATCTGTTCAGACAGACTGTTAATTATAGACTGTCCTAAAGTGTCTTCTTTAGCCTTCTCAAGAATACTTGCTGCTGCTAGGTGAGCTTTGGTACGGGATGTTCAAAGACTTTTTTTCTGAGCGTGCGTTGCTGTTTTTTAATATCAGAAGAAGATGAGGCCACTGTACTTGACACCCACTCTTTAGCAAGTTTCATTCCTCCCGTTTTCTCCGGCCCCAAAGTCCCCACCGCCTTACAAATTGTGCAGCCCAAACCAGAACTGTCCATAAGAAGCTAGG